CGCGCGAGCCGGCTGTCCGCTATATCGTGTATGTACATATTTCTTATTTGAGCGAGCCGAACGAAAAACCTACTTAGCTTCTTTCACAACAAAAAAGCCTCTCTCAAACGCACGCACGATTCACACGGCAGGTTTTTCTGGGGACGTCTTGCAGCTGTCATCTCACAGTATCGCTGCGATCGCGTCCGCTCCGGGTGCGTGTACGTGTGGTGTACGTCTCGTGTCCTAACTCGATCCGGGAGGTGCCGTCACCGCCGATCCCCCATCTCCCCAAACACGCCCGCGATTGCCGGCTGCAAGCTGTGCGTTGCGGTCGCGCCTGCAACGGGTTTTTATTGTCCCGGAAGGACAAACTAACTGCGGCCCGCGCCATGCGTGGGTCTGCGCCCCAGTGCGAAAGGAACTCCAAGAGCTCGGAATCCAACTGCGTACTACTTGGCTAGCACGCTATTGGCATACCGACGGCTAAGGCCGAAATCGGTTCACACCTGCTCTTGCACATGCAGGTGTGAACACAAAGGATTCGCTGTATCTACTCAGCCGCTCCGCTTACACTTACCTGTGAAGTGTGAACAGCGGATTTTGAATCAGCGTTCTCCTTGAACGATATCGGTGTCGAAACACCGCTCTGACAGCGCTCACACGCATGCTACCCGGGTAGGCTAAGGATCCCGAACCCAGCAATCGGGCAGTGGTTGAGTAGGCAAGGAGAGTTGGAGTATTCCACAGTATTTCCAGTATCCCAGTATCTGAGGTGCTGTGGCGCAGTATTCCAGTATTTCAGACACGCAAAGCAAGTATTTTTATTGCAATACTGCATGCTACCTGCACACGGCCCTTGGCCAAGTATCCCAATATCCCGCAAGCAAAGGCCAAGTATCGGTGGCGCAAATACCTCTCTGCCGCGAGGGTGATACTGCAATACTGGGCCTGGGGCATGCAGATACTGTGTTACTGAAGTAGTGTGGCCATGGCAGTATCGCGCAGTATTTTCACCGCAATACTCGGAGCCGGCGCATCGGATACTGGGATACTGCAGGATACTGCGGGATACTGCTGGATACTGCTGGATACTGGCAATTCATGGAAGTGTGCCCGTGTGTAAGCCATGGTCCAGCAGCCAGCTGCATCCCCATCCTTCTCACTGGTAGTTGTCACCATGCAGCTGCACCCCTCCCTAGAGCATCCCTGGCTGATGTGGATACCGGATCCTGGGAGACTGGGATACTACGGACCGGCTTGGGCTACAAATGTCGCAAGTGGGCAGTGGTGATGGCAGGCGTTATGTGATTGTTCCAGAATGCATCGGCAGGAGTTGTGATGTGTGGAAGCTCACGAGTTCTCCGACTGCCGCTCGGTAGTCGGTAAAGAGCTCGTATCCGCTGCCATTTCTGCCGCCGAGCTGAACAGCGGCGGTGAAGCACGGCCGGCTGTGTCAGGACCGCGCCCGGCGCTGGAGAGTGCTCGAGAGCATCCGACATCGTCGGCCGCAGCGGCATGGTCGGCCGAGGTGATTCAGTTTATGTGTAGGTCCGTCACCCGTTTGCCGTGATGCTCAGCGGCGGCGCCCACAGCGGTGGGTTCACTCGAGACGGTCCGGCGCCAAGCAAAGAGTTGTGTCGGTCACCAGAGCCTGCTGTGTGGCGGTGTGCGGCCGATTGGGGTCGTGCGGGGCTGGTTGGGGTTAGCGGGAGGAGACATCGAAGGAACTTCGGCGACAGAATGACGGCTCGAACTTTTCGACCGTTCTATCACTTTCACGCGCCCTCCCTGGGTCACAGCACTTGCGAGAGGGCGCCGCGACGCCCGGCCGCCTGAGATGCAAAAGTTTGCACACGCCATTCAAGCGCTGCAGACGCTGGTGCTCCTGCGTGCCGGCGCCAAGCTTCAATTGCCAAGGCTGACGCTGCATCACAACGTTGATATCGCATGCAGTGCGCTTGTGGGAGCTGACGCGCCCAGCCAATCCAGCGCCCCTAGCCACCGAGATAGCTCTGGGACCCTTTTACGGCACAGCTGCTGTGTGATATACTATGATTCCTGTGCGTGCGCCGCAGGACGTGACCACCTTGCTGCTCTCAATGTTGGCCGTGACGCCTCCCCGATGTGGGTCTTCCTCTCCACACAGCACCAGCACCAGTGCACTGCCACGACACTCTCCCTCAGTTCCAGCACTGGCGCCTCAGCCGTCTTCGCCCACCTCGTTGCGTTGCCGCCTTCCCCACCCCGCCAGCCCTTGCACACGCGTTTACACCATTGCGCCGGCAGGGCGCGGGCACACACTTTACGGCAGTCTTCGCTTGCCCACGCTGCTCAATTGGCTCAATCCCTCCCCACCTAGCTGCTGCCTCGCATCCCGCTGCTGGACGTACGACTGCGGCCGCAGCGCAGTGCATCGCTCGAGGGCCGACCCCGGATACTGGGATACTGCAGGATACTGCAGGATACTGCGGGATACTGCTGGATACTGGCCATCTCTGATGCGGATACTGGGATACTCGGCGGGGCTGGAGGACCAAGTAGCGCCCAGTATTGCAGTATTATTACTTGGCATTGCCCCCTGACCGTCTTCATACTTACCCTGGCATTCGACCCC